CTTTTCCAGGCCGGTTCGGGCCTCAGCTCAAAAGGAGTTTAGGGTTTTTTGGGGTTCAGGGTTTAGGGTTCACTGTTTGGGGTTGAGGGTTTAGGGGTTGAGGGTTCAAGGTTTGGAGTTTGGGGTTTAGGGTTCAGGGTTCAGGGTTCAAGGTTTGGGGCTCATGGTTTAGGGTCAGCTCAAGAGCGCCTTCGACGGGAACTGTACAGGCTTCGAGACCAGAGTGACCAGAGCGCAGGAACGAGTGGCTAGACTGTATGATTATTCTAAGGGTTTGGTCGTATTATAGTATATTGGTAGGCTAGACTGTATGAGTAGTATATGGGTTTAGTCGCATTGTTATAGTTATTAGTAATGTAACAGTACTAAAAAGGGGCTTGCTCTGTCCAGACCGCGTGAGCTTCCTGGGGTTACCACGAGCCGCAGAGTGCGCTTCAGCTCTGGGGCTCGCGCAAGAGCCCAGAGACTCCAATATCCCTTAATTAACGAGTATTCCTTAAATCATAAGAGGGATCCTACTATAAGTTACGATATATTCCTTATTTGAGGGATATTGGAGTCCATGGGAGCATCGGTGGGTCATCCTCCAAGAGCCCGACGATCGCGAAACAGGACGCTCCATCGTACCCACGTCTTCGCCGAAGCGGTTGTGAGAAGAGTCTTGGGTAGATGATCTGAGGGTCCGGGCAACTGCCCGCCCTTCCCAGGATTTTCTGTTAGCGACCCGTGCAGAAAATTACCTTCACACAAGAAAGCTTAATTCTTAACCATGCCGCTAGACCCTCGAATCTTCAGATCAGACGATGATGGTTACTATGACCCTTGACCCTCAGATCGGAAAGCATGAATGCCTAACCCAAGTCTAGGCCCCCGAAACCCGTGAACGCCAAGGCCGACATTCAACGAAGCTGATGCGAGAGTCAGGTACAGCTTGAGGCCGTTGGATTTCTGCGATTGGAAAAAGGAGGAATTCAGAGAACGTGCGAGCCAAAGGGTTCAGGGCTTTTGTGGTTGTGGTTGTGGTTGTTGTTGTTGTTGTTGTTGTTGTTGTTGTTGTTGTTGTTGTTGTTGTTGTTGTTGTTGTTGTTGTTGTTGTTGTTGTTGTTGTTGTTGTTGTTGTTGTTGTTGTTGTTGTTGTTGTTGTTGTTGTTGTTGTTGTTGTTGTTTTTGTTGTTGTTGTTGTTGTTGTTGTTGTTGTTGTTGTTGTTGTTGTTGTTGTTGTTGTTGTTGTTGTTGTTGTTGTTGTTGTTGTTGTTGTTGTTGTTGTTGTTGTGTTGTTGTTGTGTTGTTGTTGTTGTTGTTGTTGTTGTTGTTGTTGTTGTTGTTGTTGTTGTTGTTGTTGTTGTTGTTGTTGTTGTTGTTGTTGTTGTTGTTGTTGTTGTTGTTGTTGTTGTTGTTGTTGTTGTTGTTGTTGTTGTTGATGTTGTTCATGTTCTTCTTCATTTTATCATGGCTTGGTTACCCCCCTAGACCCCCCTTCAAGCGATGCCTCCGAGCGTCTAGTGAGAAATGACAGTTCCGACATGTGAGTCTTGCTTGGCAAACTCTCGGCCGGGCAGGCCAACAGCATGCAAGGCCTCAGCAGCAGCAAGGCCTTAGCAAGGCCTCAGCAAGGCCTCAGGCCCTGTCAGAACCTCCCGGCCAATCAGGGCCGTGGGAGGCTTCGTGTGAAGGTTACGCAACCAAGATAGAGGCCTTCCCGAGGTGCTACTGTGACACATGTCTTGCCGAGGCTTTGGCAAGCGTTCGCTAAGGCTTTTTTCGAGGGGGGGGAAAACAAATCCACGATTTTATTATTCTTGCTGTTTTTGCGTTTGCTGCTGCTGCTTCCGGTGTTGTTGTTGTTGTTGTTGTAGCCGCTATGGATCACAGCAGGCTGTGTAGCATTGCTAACAGGGCTCTGGGTACCAACGCTAGAGGCTCGCAACGGCCCCCTTCTGCGAAGCTTAAGGGACTGTCCTCTTATTGAGCCATAGCTATTCCCGGAGCCGCGCGCCGCTGTGATCTACCGGGTCCCAATTCCCGGGCCTCTCTCTGCAGTTATACAACCTTGGCAAGAGGTAAGCGGTAGGGTTCTCACCTTTCCGCGGGGTGATGGGAGTCGGATCGAGTTCTCTCTTTCCGGCGAAACTAGCGGAAGGCGCGTCGACTGTGCCTCAGTGCTTTTCTCCGCCGATGCCTTTACATTTACAAAAGGACCTGCCGCACCAAGCCATTCAAGGGGCGGCCCCAGTCATGGGTTGGCCATCTTCTGCACCTGGGTATCCTGAAGGAAGCTTTCGATTTGAGGCCTCGTTCCGCTCCTCTCTTCGACTTTCCAGCTACACGACAAGACACCCAGGTACAGCTCACGGTCTCTCCTGCGCAGTTTTGCTGGCGCTCTGGTTTTGCGCTTTAACTGGTCCACCTCCGCAAGAAGGACACGGATCGTCTGGTATTCTCATGCAGTCTTCTTCGAGCACTAGTTTTTCCTTCAACGGCACAGTGGACTGCCACCGGCTGCTACGAAGCCAGTGCGATCGAGAGTTCTTCGTCACGGTTGAGTGTTTTCTGCGCTTCACTTCTGTTCAGCCGCCAGCGCCTGGGAGCAAGTCAGACTCCGGACAGGCTAGGCGCAACGTGGTGACTCACAACGCGTCAGCATCCTCCCAATGCTGGCCCCGACGGGCATTCCAGGGACTCCTCTTGCTATGGGGTGCCCTTGAGGGCCTAGAGGGGCTATCCTCTCTTGAGGGGGAGGCCTCTCGGGGGCCGCCGGGCCAGACTTGTCTACAAGACAAGGCGCAGATTGGGACACTGGGACTCAGGTTCAGCAGAGTTGGCCAACGTCTTCAGTTCCAGCACGGTGTCTACCTGGTACGGCTCCACGTCACATCTGGGTACAGTCGTTAAGCGGACGCGCTTGCTGTGCTATGGGTGTCGGGCTACGGCTACGGCCCTCCCAGGTGTGTTCGTTACTGTCCTGTTACCGAGGGGGTCAGGCAGTGCTAGGAGTGACGGCCCACGTGTTTTTGCTTGACGACGAATTATCCTTACGGCCCATCGCTGGTAGTCGGGAGTTACCTAGTGTGGGACGCCACTAGACGGGAACTCTGGGAGACGGCTCTTCTGAGTACGACCCACCGGCTGCCAGTTCGTGAGTATTGGACGCAATGCCTCACACTGAGGGTGACGGAGGCTACATGACGACGACTTTGTGAGTCGGGCTGTCACGTTAGGAGTTTCGGGCATCGCTCGCGTAAAAAAACGGGCAACGCCTTTGTAACTGAAGTCAACTTCTTGTGGCCTATCCCCTAGAGGCTGGTGCCCAAGAGCTGTTGCTGCTGTGTACAGTCTGCAGCGCTGCTCTTCTTGACTTAGGCCCTTTCTCTTTAACGTTTGTAGCATCGGCTCCTCTTTTTCCTTCACTGAGGATCCTATAGGGGTTGCGCGGTCTTCTCTGTTGGTTTTGTTAGGTCAGTTCGTTTTGGCTTGTTTTACGCGAGGCCTCGGGGCCTGACTTCGGTCGTAGTTCTCAGAAACGGATGAAGGAGGTACCTGCGATTCTCGCATGGGCAGTCCCCTCGCAAAAAAAGCGCCAGTCTGTTTCTTTTTCTTTACAAGGCCGCCGGGCGAAGACCGCGTAACCTCTATAAGAATGTCGGCAGGTCAGATTCTAAGGGAGTGGTGCTGGCTTATGGCTCACCTCGGTGGCGCTGGCTCACGGCACACTCGGGGATGGCACGCTTCCGAAGTTTCTGCTCGCCCGCAATGAGCAGAGCCCGCTCGCTCAGCGTCCAATAAAAATTGTTGTTGTTGTTGTTGTTGTTGTTGTTGTTGTTGTTGTTGTTGTTGTTGTTGTTGTTGTTGTTGTTGTTGTTGTTGTTGTTGTTGTTGTTGTTGTTGTTGTTGTTGTTGTTTTTTTTGTTGTTGTTGTTGTTGTTGTTGTTGTTGTTGTTGTTGTTGTTGTTGTCGTTGTTGTTGTTGTTGTTGTTGTTGTTGTTGTTGTTGTTGTTGTTGTTGTTGTTGTTGTTGTTGTTGTTGTTGTTGTTGTTGTTGTTGTTGTTGTTGTTGTTGTTGTTGTTGTTGTTGTTGTTGTTGTGTTGTTGTTGTTGTTGTTGTTGTTGTTGTTGTTGTTGTTGTTGTTGTTGTTGTTGTTGTTGTTGTTGTTGTTGTTGTTGTTGTTGTTGTTGTTGTTGTTGTTGTTGTTGTTGTTGTTGTTGTTGTTGTTGTTGTTGTGAACTGATCATCTTTATTACTCCTCTTTGTTTAGGTTTCTTCGTTTTGCTTGTTTGTGGTTGCTTCTCGTTCTACTTCTTCTGAGTCGGGAGTTTGCTGACAGCGATGGAGGTTTGTCTGTTCGGCATGGCCTTCGCGTGCGATTTGAATCTGCATCTCTGCAGGCTACGACGTTCTAAGAGTGCATGCGTGTTCGGTTTTACACCTACAGCAGCTTTAAGATGTAAAGCAGTGTGTTCGAGATTCCCCGCGATGGCTGACCCGTAATAATAACCCCTAGGTATATACCCTTAATATAGCTATGATTATATACCAAATATAGCCCATTATAGGGTAGAGGTCCCCGTTGACTCTCCACTCCACTCCCCTGAGCCTCCAAGTAGGCTCCAACGAGGCGCCAAAGTCAGGATGCAGTACAGCGAGTAGCGCGAAATGTTGCACGTAAGTTCTGCATTGGGGTCGGTAAAGTTGACTTAGCTAGATCTAAGCACATTACCGTCGGTTACTGCATGATGCTATTGCGCCGTGCTGTAAATACTTCTCTTGGAGCGGATGGTGTGTCGCATCTCGGCTTTCAGCATGGTCGTGTTGAGGCATGGAAGCAGCCCTCCTATCCATTCAGTCTTACGAAGCTATTGCCCGTGATTCTGCGACTTTTGCTTTAATGACTGTGGCATCAAGATCATTCTGGTCGTCAGTGGCGGTATAATAGTTACCATCACAGCATCATCCCCAATCATTAATCATCAAGCCGAAGCCTCGCCATTGTGCTGCGTGCTGCAATGGCTGCCATGGTAGACGAGCAGGTGACGTGGCCGTAGCCTGGCGGCAAAGCACCTGAGAATGATCGCAGATCTTTTTTTTTGGCACTGGCAGTAGTAGTAGTAGTAGTAGTAGTAGTAGTAGTAGTAGTAGTAGTAGTAGTAGTAGTAGTAGTAGTAGTAGTAGTAGTAGTAGTAGTAGTAGTCTTCGTAGTAGTAGTGGTAGTATGCGTGTTGTTGTCGTTGCTTCTAGTTCTAGAACGAGAACGGGTGCCATACTAGTGATCACGCTATTGTGATACTTTAGAAGCATGCATAATTACCACTATTCTTCCTCAGCGTTTCTTTTCATACATAAAAACGTACAGATAGAGAGACGTGTATCCCAAAACCCTATTCTAATCTTTAAGGATCCTATATCACCCGCCGTCATGTTGAGCTGATCCTTTTGAGGAGCTGGCTTCTCTTCTTTGCGGTATCGCCTTACGCCAATTCCAACTCGGATCGTCGTTCTTGTGACTCCAAGCCATGAACCTAAACTTAACCCTAAACTATCACCGCCTGAACTGCCTAATTCAGGGTTGCTTCTAGTGAGGCGCCTACTACCTACCGCCTATATACCCCATCTGCGGGGCGTGGTGGTGTTTCCAGAAAGCGAAATAGAAGGCTGATCATACGACATTTATCAGCGAAGACTATCTGGATCCCTTTGGTTTCCTCCTGAAGAGCACGACGTATGGGCTAAGTTTATTCTTCCGAGGTATTCAGGGCCTTGAGCGGGAACGTCAAGCAACCACAACCTCCTTGCATCACCGCGTCTTTCTCTTGTTACTCCTGCTTAAGGTACTGCCTGCAACGGACCAAGGCCCCCAAACCTTGATCCCCTTGACATTGCCCTAAACCATAAACCCTAAACCCCCAGACCCTAGACCCTAAACTGCGCGCCTAAATTGTAAGTCCGAGCCTTCTCGCCCCAACAGTGGCTGAGGTTCCTGCCGTTTGCTGTCGGTCTGCTTCCGGAGGCTGGCAGAGTGGCCTCAATAAGTTCCTGATTATAACTACAGTATACTGAGCCCCAAAACCCTATTCTAATTATTAAGGCCCCAGGCTTTGGGGTTTGGGCGTGAGGCTTAGGGTTTGGAGGTTAGCTCGCGGGCGCAGGATTTATATAGGGTTGGCTATTTGATATTTGATGTTCTGGTTGGTCTTGCTGTTTCGGCCATTGCCAACAAGCCGATTAAGAATTGAAAGTCGTCTCCTGCATTTGTTTGTTTTATTATCAAGCCTGACGTGTAGAACCGCTCTCGCTACTTGTCGCCCTCTGTCACTGCTACCCTACGAGATCGTCTTACACCCAATGACAAGCTGACCATTTAAGATGCCGGCATTGGTGGTTGCTGCTGCTCCTGGCGACAACAGGTCTTAGTAAGTGGACCTATCTTGCAGCTTTTGCTATCTTTCGTCCTCAGTGTATTCGTTGCAGCGGTTACCCACAGTTCCCACTATTTGTACTATTGTGTCTTGTGCATCCATGGCAGCAATAGCGACAGCGATCATGTCCTTCTTCAATGAAAATGCAGCAACATACATAGACTAGTCGGCAGAATTGCTGCATTCGGCTCAGAATTCGAGTCCAGCTTCGTAGCAGGTCGCGGTTCCAGTCTTTGGGCACTTTCAATATGTTGGGCTATAAAGTAAGCTGTCCTAGACTAGAGTATGTCGTATGACTTAGAAGTTGCGTCGTGTGAGTTTCAGAACATAGGGCTCGCAGCTAGGATCCTTAGCACACGGACGCTCAAGCAACGTACCTTACTTCTCTGAAACCAATCCTGGACCCTAAGCCCTCAACCCAGGACCCGAAACCCTAAACCCTCAACCCAGGACCCGAAACCCTAAACCCCAAACCCTAAAACCCCTAAAGCCCCAAACCCGAAGCCCTGACCCCCAAGCCCTCAACGAGGCCGGCAGTGGCCCGGTGTCCGAGTGGAGATGCAAGCGGCGGCTCGGAGAAGAGAGCGTCGAGTGGTCTGCCAAGCCCCCCGGCGCTTACCAGTAGGGTTTCAGGAGATCTCTAGGGTTTAGGGGTTTGGGGTTTAGGGTTTAGGGTTTAGGGTTTAGGGTTTAGGGTTCAGGGTTTAGGGTTTAGGGTTTAGGGTTCGAGGGGTTTCGGGCTGTAGGGCTGTTGGGCTTACTGTATCAGAGGTTCTGGTGCGAGGGTCTCGGGTTTGAGGGCTGACAGGGTTTTGGGGTTTACTCCCCAGAGACTCCAATATCCATTAATTGAGGAACATACCTGAAATCATATTAGGGATCCTACTATAATTTAAGGTATATTCCTTAATTAAGGCATATTGGAGTCTCTGGGTCCGGTGGCGAAGAGGATTTGGGGCTTCAGGGCTCATAGGGTTTTGGGGTCTGAGGCCCACCCGTTGAGGGTAAAGCGTCCACAGGTTCTGGTTTCGGCACGGCGACCCTAAACCGGGTTCAGCATCCATGTGGCTGGTTTTCAAAATTAGGGTCCCTGTTTGCTTCCTTATTATACTAACATTTAAGGTGCCCCAAAAAGGGACCCCAATTTTGACATCTACCCATGTACACCGCCTTGGGCTTCAGAGAAAGCCCAGGCGGACCAGCAAAAAAACTGCTCGCCTTTTTTTATGCCGGGCTAGTATAGGGACTTTCCGAAAATAGGGGGACCCTAATATAGTACCCTAAATAGTGGGATCCAAACTAAGGTACCCCTTATTATCGGAAGGTCCCATATAGGGAAGATTATTGTAGGGATTCCTTATTATGATTACGGTATACTGGGCCCCAAGACCCTGTTCTAGTTAATAAGGCCCCTATAGTAGCTGCACTTCCCGGACCGGCAGTCACCCTCCGAGTTCCAGACACCCTCGCACGCGTCACTTCCCGCACCTTCATTATAACCCAGAGGCTCCAATGCCAATATCCCTTAACGAAGAAAACATACCTTAAACCATAACCCATATATCGGACCCTACTATAATTTATAAGGTATATTCCTTACTTAATGGATATTGGAGTCTCTGCGAACAAGCTTCGTCGCCCGACGGCACCATCTGTGCTGAACCCGCCCCTCACACCCCAATCAAAGCTCCCTAAAAAGCCCCTAAAAAGGCTCTATAAAGCCGCTAAATCCCCTGAAGCCCTGAAAGCCGAAACTATACATAAACCCTCCCCAAACCAAACACCAGAACACCCCTGAGCTTCTAGATCCCAAGATCCCTACAGACTACCTAAATCCCCTAAGGCCCTATACACCGAAACCAAGTATAAACTCCAAAGGACGAAAGAAGCCTTTGGGGAAATCCAGGCGTCGGAGGCACGAGACCGGCAAGCTCGAGTCTAAGCGCCCCGGGTCAGAAGTGGAGAGGCAGGGGCTCAGGGCTCAGAGGGGGATTACCAGGAACCTACCTTTTTAGGGCCCCCTGATATGATTTCTTTATATAAGTCCCAAAACAAGGTAGGTTATTTGGGCTTAAGGTAGGGTTGAGGGTTTAAGGTTCAGGGTTTAGGGCTTACAGGGGGGCCGGGGGGGGGGGGGGGGGTTGGGTTCTTTTTTGGATGTAGGCTGAGGGATTTGATGAAATCCGAAGTTCTGTAGAGCTTTGTAGGCAATCATAGGCGGTTTCAATTGGGCATTTCAGGAACTGAGGGGAGTTTAGGGTGGAGGCGTCTGAGGTCTGACTTTTACTCTTGGGCTCAGTTCTTGAGGCGTGCAGAAGGAAGACTTTTGAAAGAACGCCGTAAACCCTAAACCCAAAGCCCTGAACCGCTCAAGCAAGTCAATCAAAGGAAGGGGGGCCTGTGCCTCGATGATTGAAACATGCTCCTGCTCTTGTTTTAAATTTAGGTTTGCCCCAGGTGCGCCCGTATACTTCTTGGTGTCAAGGCAGTCTAGGCTAGGGTCTATGCGCACAACCGGTAACGGCCGAAGCCCAAACACCCCCGAACCTCAGAACTCGAATGCCCAAGCGTCTGAAACCTTAAATGGGTACGGGTACTTATCTAAATGCGGGCTAATAGTTAGGATCCCGTTCTAGGTCCCCAAATAGTACAGCACCCTCACAAAACGGACCCCACAAGGAGTCTGACTTTGAGAACTGCCCAAGTGCCCAATCCTCAAGCCCTTCACCCCTAAAGCTCTCCACCCCAAAACCCGTATTTAATGAAAGGTCCAACGAATTGGTAAATCTATCCTCTTATGGTCCTGACAGACTAAATTAATTAGTAGATACAGCGAATATGGTCTACCCCAGAACCCTGTTCACAGCAGAAGAAACCGCGTTAAGCACTGTAAAGCCCGTAGACAGCTTTGACAACCCTCCACAAAAACCATCGCAAGACCACCGCGATCCCCTAAACCCTAAACCCTAAACCCCTAACCCCTAAACCCTAAACCCCAAACCCCTAAACCCTAAAGCTGAGCCCTAAGATGGCCAGGTGCCACGACCATCGGACGGATCTCTCGGAGTTCAGCGTGGCTCGGCCCGCAGGTTGCCACTTACAGTCTAGGATGCCCAGTAGTACCCTTATTCCTTTTTTGTAGTCCTAGGTTCCTTATAAAGTTACCCAATACCAAAAAAGAGAGGCCTTTTTGTTCTTAGGTTACTGGGTATCCTGGTGCCACTTACGGTAGAAGCCCAAAAGTTGGAAACCCAATAGCCTCAATCCCTAAGAGTAATGTATAGGGAATCCCAACACTATTTGGCCTTTATCCGGTTTCCAACCTTTTGGGGTTTACTGTAGAGGCCCAGAGGACTTGGTAAGTTTGTAATAAATAGAGTCGGGTGGTTGTCAAAATTAGGGCCCCTTTTTGGGGTACCCCAAATACAAGGTGCCGTATTTTGTTAGGGACCCAAACAGGGACCCTAATTTCGACAACCACCCTTGTTATAAATAGAGTTATCATTGGGATATTTCCAGTTAGTGTATTTATAACTCTACTTATAACCTACTTACTGAGTCGCCTGGGCCTCTAAGCAGGGTCACGCAGAGCTGAGTGACTGTCCGAAAAGAGTTTTAACTGGGTCTGATGAGGTTTTGTAGTTGTTTGTGGGATTTCGACGAAGGTTTAGGGTTTTAAACGGGTTTAGGAAGGGTTGGAAGGTTTTGGAAGGGTTTTTAGTCGAGGATTTCCTCAGAGCCCCACATTGTCATAACCAGAATAGACCGCGAAATCCTCGAACCCCCCTTTATTTCAAGGCCCCTGTCGGCTGGCTGTTGAAGTCCAAGCCATCTTCCAAGAAGCTTGAAATAGCTCCTAAGCCTAGACACCAAATCCCAAACTTGAAGCCCAAACCCAAGGACTTAAAGCCTTAGCGCTGCGCCCAAATCCTAACGCCCAAGTTGTCCCGTCAACGCCTAAATCCGAAACTTCAGGCGTTCGGCGAGTTCTGTGTGGCAGACCTCTCCACCGTCAGCTTTGTCACGTTGGCCACGTTGGTGTGGGCCACAGGAATTTAACACAGGGTCCTAAATAATTACCTATCCTATATAGGGGTTTCCTTCTCATGTCATAATTATTAATGGTATAATGGGCCCCAAAACCCTATTCGATTATTCAGGCCCTCGTATTACAGCCCCATAATACCCCTTATAGTAAGCCTAATAGGACCCTTTCTAAGAACCTTTTGAAATAACCCTTTTTTCTTGTGAAGACCCCTCTGGTACGCATAGTAAGCTGAGCATTCGAAGGGATGAATACGAGCGTCAGGGCTGTAGAGTTTTCGGTTTGCAGATCCACAGGTTCTACACATACTTGTTTGTAGAGCTGCAGTGTTGCTCGGTCTTTCACCCTAGTTTGCTCTTACGATGCTTCTTGTTGCTGCTGGTGTAGCATGCTGGGTGATGTTGTTGATGCAGCTCCTACAAGTCTCGTTGCGCTGCTCTTCTTGTCAGATCAGATACCGCAGTTGACACGGGTTGCCTTCGTTTTGAGACTTCGGCTTCATTCTTACTATTGTCTGCTCTTGTTGCTGCTCATTGTTTTGGTGTTATTATTTCCGTTGCTCAGGAGTGCTCGGCGTGACGCAGCCGAGGTGGCGGCCAGCGTCTTTATCTTGGTTTGTGTGTCCAGCTCCCTGATCCTCGCGGCGCCACATGGTCGCAACTTCCGCACGGGTTGCGAGGAGTTGGGGTTCGGGTCTGGCGGTGTAGCGTTTCAGTCGAAATTACGATTTTTGGTTGAGCAGTTTGTATTTCAGCAGCGGGGGTTTCCGAAAATAGGCGACCCTAACACATGCAAGAACAGCTATATAGGCGAAATCTCAACACTCAACACTCCGGCCTGTCTATGCAAGAGACTTGCACCCACAATTTGTCCAGTGGTCCACTGAGTGCTGCTAAATTTAAAGTCGATCAAACAAGTTAAACCTCTGGGGGCATTCTAGATAGGGATTTGATACAGGTACCTCTGTTAAAAGGTGTAGGGTTCCTGTTAAAGGGGTGTATAAGGGAGCTATAAGGTTGCTATAGTACAGGGGCCTGAATAATTAGACTAGGGTTTTGGGGCCCATTGCATACTATAACTATAATAAGGAACCAGCAAAATAGTATGGGTAATTATTAAGGCCCCTGTATTTGGCTCCCGGACCTGCGATTTTGAGGGGAAAGTCTGAGGTTGAGGCTCTTCCGCTTTCCGATGGACGGTTTAGAGATTGGGGTTTAGGGTTTAGAATTTGCCATACTATGTTGCTCAAGCAGTGACCCCTACGACCCCTGAACCCTAGACCTCTGCGCCTGCCTGCATCCCTAGGTTTCGGAACCCCAAAACCTTTAAGAAACTGAAGCCTGAAACTCTACATCCCAAACCCCGAGCCAGCTTCTGGGATTTAAGGATTTACAATTTCCGCAGTTCTCCGAAGGCAAACTTGAAGCTGGGCATGCGGGTAAAGAGTTGAGGGTTTAGGGTTCAAGCCGAGCCCTGTGTTTCAGGTACAAATCCAGCCTTGAGCGGCTGAGGCTCTGCAGCTGCTTGTGCCTGGCACTGACAATGCTGATGCTCTCGAACCATGTGCCTCATCCGCACCAGGGTTAAACCCTAAACCCCAAACCCTAAACCCCAAACCCTCGTTGGGCGATCGGAGAAAGAGTTAGTGCACTTTAAACAAACCCCTAACCCCTAAACCACCCCGGTCCCGAGGTCTACACTCAAGATCCCACTGAACCCCGAGACCCCAAATTATGAAATCGCAGCCTCCGATGCCATGGCCGTGCCTCCCGAACCCTGAAAGCCAAAGGCCGAAGTCCCTTAAGCCCTAGGCCTTGCCTTTGGTTAGTAGGGAATGGAGGAATGGGGTACAATTACAACAACTACTACTACCATTCTTCCATTCCCTACTAACCAAAGGTAAGAAGCCCCAAGCGCTCATCGCCAGACCCTGCCCAAAACCCGAAAACCTAGCCCCTTGATCGCTGGGAGCTAAGGCCCCACTCCCCCCCCTCCCGAACCGCTCCAAGGTCTTATTCATGACCTACGAGGGAGCTTGGGCAATCTGAGAGGGCACTGTACAAGTTAATCCGTTAATCTTATACCTTGGAGTTCGCTGATATCATCAGTCTACATTAGCCTCAAAGCCCTGATCTAAGTGTTCAGGCCACGACTATCATTATATGGGTGGTTGTCAAAATTAGGGTCCCTTTTTGGGTCCCTATTATAAACGGCACCTAATATTTAGGGTACCCAAAAAAGGACCCTAATTTGAAACGCTGTGCGTCGTCCGCCTCGGCCCGGCTGTACGCGCATGCGGCGAGTGGCTACTATCTGCAGCAAGCTCTTGTAGGAAAAAAGTAACAGTTGGAATCGCACTTATAGTAAAAGTACTGTTCATAGCAACACGAAGCAGGATGATTGTGAGTAGTATTAGTAGTGGTAGTATCAGCACGAATTTTGGTGTCGTCATTCCGAAACACTGGATACCAAGACTCTCGCAAGCGGCGGGATGCCTCAAGTATGGGCCGTTGAGGCTGTGGATTTCGCGGGCGTCTTGGATTAGGGAAGCATCAGACCCTTTTCAACCACGTTACTCCGCCTATCCCAACGAAAGGGCGTCTAAAACAAGCCTGAGACGCACATAAACATGCTACATTGCAGTCCCGTGTCGTCGAAAACTCCAGAAAGCTCGCACCTGTCAGCGAGCGGAGGAGCGGCGGGAGGGAAGGGGGAAGGGGGGGCGAGGGAGGGGGGAGGGGGGGGGGGGGGGGGGGGCAGGGGGGGGGGGAGGGGGGGTGGGGGGGGGGGGGGGGAGGGTGCCAAAATCCGTTACGGACGATGATGCTTATTGGGCTCAGGATGTTTGGGGTCTGCATTAAGGTGGTTTGGGGGCTCTTCTTGGATTTAGGGTTTAGGTTAGGTTTAGGGTTTACGGTTTCGTTTACTAGTAGCTTGTTTTACGATGTTCCCTTGTGGTTCTGCAGAGTTCTACTTATTTATACCGACTTCTGGATGCCTCTGCCCCCCAAACCCTATGCCCGGCCGGAGCCCGAAAGCTGTGAAGCTTAAACCGCTGAAGGGATTTCGAGTGCCGGTGTCGGGACAGTAGCCCCATTACAAGCAGCCCTTGTTGTAGCTCTTATCTTAACCGTCAAAGGGATCCCTTAAAGAATCGCTTAAAGGCACCCTTAATCGCTTATGACAGCCATTCTACTACCCCTTATAGTGACGAAGTGCCCTTATCGTCAGGAAGTGCCAAGCTCCGCAGATTTGAATTCGTCTCCGTGCACTTTGCAGTCACTCTAGGTTCCCCCGTCGGACCCTGTTCAGGGTTTAGGGTTTGGGATCTAGGCTTATAGTATAACGGTGGGAATCATTCGTAATGATAACAGTCCACATCTAGTTAGTAGTAGAACATCACCCATACCCCTGTTCTAATTATTAAGGTCCCTACATTGCACTTGTTTGTTTTGGATCTTCGGTTTAAAACTGAATCGTAGAAGAAGGGCCCTTCTTTGTTGAGGGGTTGCGGCTGGGGAACCTAGCTAATTGCTGACATCCAGGTTTGACCCCTGGAGTGTGTACACATGCCTGGGGCTTCCCCAAACTAGGTTCCGTAGTAGTACCCTTTTGCCCTTTCTGTTTTGCGGTCCCTTTATTAAAAGAATCGTAGGAACAAGGCTGAGGAACCAAGCAAATTATCAAATAGGAGTCGGGCGGAGTGGGTGCCCTGCGAGAGGGACTTTCCTAGACTCTAAACCCGGACCCCTAAACCCTAAAGGGATCAGCCCTCTGAATTCCTAGACCCTAAACGCTGACACCCAAAACTCCCAAAACTCTCAAAGCCCTAGAGCCCTAAACTCCTGAGTTTCAAACCCAGAGCCTCAAACCCCAAAGGAACCCAAAAAGGAACTCTCAAAGGATCTCTTAAAGGAGCCCGAAAAGGAGCTCGAACCTCAAAAGAAACCCTTAAAGGATCTCTTAAAGGAACCCTTAAAGGAACCCCCGTAAAGGGATCCATCCCCGTCTTTTGGGGAAACCCGATCACAGGATGCAAAGATTCATCAAAGCTCCGAGGATCGATACACACAGCGTTTCACGGTTTAGGGTCTAGGGGTTTAGGAGTTTAGGACTTTGGGGCTTTAGGGGTTCAGGGGTTTAGGAGTTTTGTGGTTTAGGGGTTTACTTGTTTTAGGGGTTTAGGGTTTTAGGGTTTGGGCTTTAGGATGTGGAGGCTACTGGTAGTGCAGCTTGGGGGTACTATGCGGGTTACTCTGAGGTTTAGGGTTCAGGGTTCGGGGTTTGGCAAAAGTTATGTTGTTTTGTTTATTGACTTGCTGTCATCATCAGTATGTTGGTTTTTGCCGCTGTAATCATTCTCAATCTCATCTTCATTATGAATATGATTCTGATCATTACTAGTTCTATTGTTAGTATTAGTGTTGCTATTTCTCCATGAACTTTAACCGATATCATTATGGTTTTCGATGACTATTGCCATTGATATTCCTGCTATTGATGCTGCTGCTCCTGCTCCTGCTGCTTTTGTAGTAGGTGTTGGTCTTGCTCTTGCACAGTCCTGTCAGATAGAACGAACATCATTGAAGCCTGCATAGACGACCATGCCTTATCTGCCACAAGACGGTGTTGTGCTGCGCTCATGCTCTTGCCCGTCCCGGGAAGAGCCAAGCGCCCACTTCAAGCTGCAGTTGTGTCAGGAAATGCCGGAGCTGGAGGCGGTGGGTACTTTTGCATGCAATTGGCTTTGCAGTTTGTTGTTGCTGCTGCTGCTGCTCTTGGCGTGGTGGCGGTTGTGGTGGCGGTGGTGGTCGTGGTCCTTGTTGTGGTTGTTGTATCCCATCGGAGCCCTGCAACGGTTTTCGACTTTGTACAACTAGACCTTACAGCCGCCCAAACCCGAAACCCCAAGGCCCAAAACCAAACCCCCAGCGGCCCTGCTCGCCTGTGAGTGTGCGAGTCTTCGGAGCTCGCGGTTGCTTCTAACAGCGCTGGTAGCTTGCGACCATGCGCTGCAGCCTTTATCTTGCCAAACATCGAGTGCAAAGCTGGCGTCCACGGCCCTTAATCGTTTAACATAGGGGCCTAAATAGTTACCTATACTATTGTGGGGGTTCCTTATTATAATGATAGTATAATGGGCCCCAGTAAGGCCCTACATTTAAGCCAACAAAACATAGAAAAACCCTAGCTCGTCGGCTGGGTCCAAGTCAATTGTATCGGTTTGAGCAGCTAGCAATAGTTGGGGTTCCAAAAAAGGACCCAAACATCAACTTTTGGGTGGATCCCTGCCTCATGGCTTTGTTTATAGAGGGGCTTATGGGATATCCCAACCTTCTGGTATTTGTTTACGTACCTTCTTGGGTCCCTAATAACAGTGTCCTCATGGCGATATACCCGCGCCAAATCCGAACTAGTAGGGCCTCCGTGGAAATCCCGCCTTTTGAAGAGACTTTAAGCTTCACCCGGCGGGACAAAGTATCCTCCGTTAGCCCCCGGTCGAGCCCCTGAAGAAGCTCATGACTTCTCAGAGTTGTCGTCATTGTATCATAGAGCTGGTTAGTTTACGGTTTTCATAGGCCCTGAAATAACGGAGCAATGCAGCAACAGCTGCTATCTTAGTAACAAATCCGAGCAACATGTTCAAAATAACACTTGCATTCACAACTCGTCGTGCGAATCAATTGCGACTGTGCGCAACAGAATTTGACGGTCGTGCCGGTCATGGGATTCAAACAGACAAACCTAAACCCCGAGCCACCATTCCACGCTTAATGTAGACCCCTGATGAGCAAGCCTTGTCGTGAATAACCTTAATCTTACAAAGAGGGATGTTAAGATACTCCATCCAGTTTTTTTCTCGGAAACAGGTGAAAGTGCACATGAAGGAAGGCTCTTTGTGTTATCCCTGTAATAGCTTTATAAAACCACATCTTGCAGGTAGAACTTTTCTGTAAGTTTCTATTAGGAGAAGGGGGGTTCGCATAAAACCGATGAGGGGTTCAATGGCATCTCGGCTCCATCGGGGCTCTTGTGCATGTTCCGTTGCCGCGCACGACGCCAGGCTCCCGGCAAAAGGGGACCCATGTGTGAGGTTTCCATGAAAAGGTCCAAAGCCACAAAATTCGGTTTCAGGCTAAACCGTAAACCCTGAGCCGTTCCGCAGAGGCTAAGCTCAGCATCTCCATGCGTTGCAATGCGGCAAACAGTCTCAGATTATCGGACGTTCCCGTTGTGGCTGGGGCCCTCGACGATCAATCCGAAACCCCAAACCCTGAACCATGAACCGTAAACCCCAAAACAGAAGACAAAAGACACCTGGCATGGCAGGCCCGGGACCTGGCAAACGAACTGCTCGCCATACATTAGTTCCCGATGTTGTTCCCTAGGGTTCCTCCTTTTAGGTATACTACAGCATAGTCCAAGATCTTATTCTAATTATTGTGAAGGCCACTACATTCGCCCAGCGCACCCCCACGCCTAGGGACACAAAAGACCCCGCTGCCCCCGGAACAGGACCAGGATGTTTGCCAAGTCAAAGGGGCACTCATCTACCGCATTGCTTGTGAGAGAGCGCGTTGGCAACCCTGCTCCTGGCTAATTACCGCTTATCAACATGCATACAACAGCCGGAATGTACCTTGAACCCTCAAGTTGCAGTCCATTCTTTCGGCTTTTCACAGTGCCCAGAGACCGTGTCCCACTCCGGGTTGGCACCGGTTGCAGTCCCAGTGCGGCTTTACAGCAGGCCTCGCAACTCTTCAGAAGAGATGGGACTCTACAGTCTAGCCGAGACCTTTACCCATAGTCCCCTTAGGAATTATTATGTATTTTTGTTCACATAAAACCCAAGGGAATATTAAACATATTATCTTTGTTATGGTTCTAAGGGGGGTATAGTTACTATCTCCTATACAGGCCTAAATCATTGCCTATACTATTTTGGGGGTTCCTTATTATAACTAAAGTATAATGGGCCCCAAAACCCTATTGTAATCATTCAGGCCCCTATACTATACCCGTATAGAGGATCCCTTTGAAGTTGCGCGAATCCCGACGTTTGCCGAAGCTGCGATGCACAACTGCGGCTTCGGTGTGCCGAATGCGGGCAGGGCCGATGGCGAGGTTGGGCCTTGGATGAAGGTGATAACTCAAGACCGAGTGAGCAAATGTCAAGCAAGTACAAACATGCTGGATAATAGCAATGACCCACAACCCTCGAACCCCGAAACCCTACACCCTAAACCCCCAAACCCTAAACCCCATGGCCCATAACCCGTGAACCCCTAAACCCTGCACTCCAAACCCCCAAACCCTAAACCCCTAAACCCGCGAACCCTAAACTCTACAGAGACCGTCCATCTCTTTGCGAGGCCTGGGGCGTTGCACGACCCTGGGCCTCCTGCGACGCACAGCTCCTGGCGGCAGTGCACACGAAGCGGGGAGGGGTTTAGGGTTTAGGGTTCAGGGTTTAGGGTTTAGGGTTTAGGGTGTAGGGTTTAGGGTTTGGGGAGGGTCGAGTGGGCCTTTGGTTTGGGGTTTGGCAAAGGTTGGGTGGCCTGAAGGGGGGTTTTGGTCTTGTGGAGTGGTTTTAGTGTTTCGAAGGTGTTACATGGCTAGCTTGACACAGGAGCCCAAGAAACTAGTACTGTCCTCAGGTTGTCATTCATTCCTATTCAGATACGGCAGAACTTTTTTGAGACCAGCCCAAGTACTCATGTCCTTGCATTGCATCGGGAGGTTCAGGATCGAGTCTAGCGACTGGTGTCTCGAGAATTGTTTAGGGTTAATGGAGGGGCTTACCTAGACTATTCTGGGGGTTCCTTACTATAACTATATGGAGTATACGGGCGCCAAAACTCTATTCTAATTATTAGGCCCTTACATTATAGTACCCTCATAGATCCCTTACAGGAACCCTTCTAGGACCCTTGAAAGGGATCCCAGCGATTCTGCATTCGGCCGGCTCCCTCCGCCAGGAAGGAGTGGGACGAGGCCATGCGATCTTCCGGCCAATGGCAGCCTCCGGGCTGCAAACGGTAGGGACCCAAAACAGCACATAAGCATAAGCTAGGGATATCCCTACCTTAGTGGGCTTCCTTATAAAAGGGGGTTTATATGGTATATCCCTACCTTATGGGGCTTCCTTATAAGGGGGTTTATATGGGATATCCCTATCCTAATTTTTGCTTATGTGCTTTTTTGGGGGCCCTAAACAGAAGGACTCTCCCGGGCTCAAGCCAGTGGCAGCGGGGAAAAGGTTCAGCGCTTTAGCTTGAGGGCTGGCTTTTTACGGACAGCAAGACAAGAATGCTAGGTGATGGTCTTTGGTTTATGCCAAAAATAGGAAAACCGACACTTTACCCTAAACCCTAAACCCTAAACCCCTAAACCCCTAAACCCTACACCCTAAACCCTAAACCCCTAAACCCCTAAACCCTACACCCTAAACCCTAAACCCCTAAACCCCTAAACCCTACACCCTAAAACCTACGGTCCGGCTGAAAGTTCTACAGTAGCTGAACTTGAGTCTCCAAAGCTGGTGGTTTTCGTCTTGATCGCAGGGCTTCCTGGCTTCAAGTCGGGTTGGATTTTATAGGGTTTACCTGAGCCGTATACTTAACCCTAAATGGCTTAATTACCTTTTTCAAGGCCCTGCAAAGGAAAGCATAACAAGGAATCCTAAAAATGGAGTCGTGTTTAGGGTCCCGGTAGGGTTTGTCTGAGGCAGGCGCTGAGCCTCTACTGGCAGGGAGTGGGCCAAAGGAGCCGCAGCTTAATCTAGGGGCCTTAATAATTAGTATGGGGCTTTGGGGCCCCATATACTATAATTAGAATAAGGAACCCCCAACATAGTATTGGTAATTTAAAAACGCTTTCGCGTCGTCCGCCTCGGCCCGGCCGTGACGGAAGCAAACGCACTGTGAAGGCGTCCTTGAGGGACCCTCAAACCCTGAAACCTAGGTTTAAGTGGTATCCTTTTTTGTTTTCCTGGCTCTTAGGGTTGGTTGAGGTATGCAGAATGAGCACTTACGCGTGAGCATGCTGTGCTGGGCTTACCGAACCCTGCGGGAGAGTGGGAGTTCTACCTGGCAAAAGGCTTGCCGTTCGGATCTTTCTATAGCAAACCGGCAGCCTCTCTGCTAAACAAAATCTTGATGAGATTGCTGGACCTATTCGATTGAACTTACGCGAAGTCCGGCCGAAAGTTCGTTCCCTTGACTCAAAGGTGGTTTCCTTAGGGGTTTCGTTAGGCTTGGCTGAGATTGTTTTGGTGGTATCTTGACGGTTGAGAACAAGCCAGGTCGTCTTGACAAAATTTCCCAGCTACCGTGCAACATTGCCTCGGGTCAGGCTGTGACCCGGTCCGATGTGGCCTGGTTGATCAATCTCACTGGGGGTCTGATCATGGGTTTCGAGTTAAAGCCTACTTCGAGAATGCTGTCGAGGGCCCTGTCTGGGCCTTTCCTCGGGAACACCCCGGAGCTGCGGCAAGCCTGTGCCCGGCAGACCTGCACAACTTTGCAAATTCGTAGCTTCGTGGCGGTGTCGTTTGCGAGTGCCTTGTCATGCCGCTTGGCGCTCTTTCTTCAGCCTGTCCCAGTTGTTGTGGTGGCGCTGACTTGAGGTGCTTTTAATGCGGCAGTCGCTGATGCAGTTGGCATAGGTCAGCCTTTGGTTTTCGCGTAAAGTGGCGCATTGACTCTTCGCTGAGGCTTCCCATGGCGCCGCTTCCCGGCAGCTGATGAGCCATCCCACCAGATGGAGGCATGCGGAGTAAGTCTCTGACATGTATTTCGCCTTGCGCAACCATGAGCTCTCCGCGCCTTTCCCTGGATATCGTGATCCCGGTGTAGTATCAATCAACGGAGGAAACCATGATCGGGATGAGACCACTTGCACGAACATGCATGCTGGCTGATGATGCGCAAGGCCTCGCTGAGCAGCACTGCCTCTGCGATGCTGGTCGCCAGCCGGAAGGAAGACGAGGCCATTCCCAAACGAAGCTGAGTGCGAACATTCTTGGCCAGTTTGCGCCTGTGCAGATCCATGAGCAAGCGGCAGCTGCCACTGCTGTCACAAGCAGGCACAGCAGCGAATGCAACATGAGTAGCCCACGGTTTTCTTCGGTCAGTCTGTGCTCACAGAAACACCTAGGCGGAAACATGCGTGGCCAAGCACTTGGTTAGGAGCTCCGACGCGGGTCCAGCCGTCTCTTCCCGGAGCGTCTGGACAGCAAGCAAGACCAGCAAGCTGCACAGTCTCAGTTTAGCAGCTGCATTGCTACACTGAGATTGCTGCACAATCTGGCACACTTTGCAGAGTTTTGGCTCGCAAGAATGAATTTTACGCTGTATGACTTCGTATGGTTTCGCATCGTGTCTTGAGGATCTACTTCGTTTTGCCAAGGGAAGTGACGGCCTGAAGCTCCGTGCTACCTGTCGGGCTGCATCCAGCATATCGACCAAGGCGGCAGATGCAGAGCGCTGACTTTTTGAGCGGCCGCACGTCTTTGCTTCGACCAGGTAGGTGTACAAGGTCAGAGGCGACATCAAGAGGCTGGTGCGGCATTGGGGATGGGGTTGGTCCTGCGTGATGTCTGCCGGCAGGCACAAGCTCGCGTTCCGCGAAGTGAGGTATGTGTCCGGGATGTACTTCGGAGAGCTTCCGAAGGCCACCGGCCACCGGTACGAAGTTTCACCAATCTTTTTCTCCAGAAATGCGAGCGAGTTCTTTTCAGGCTTGCAGCAGGACCTGCAGCAGTTGTTTCATTGCTGCTGCTGCAGCTCCAGCAGCGTTTGCTTGAAGGACGAGATCCAGTGCTAATTGGCCGAACTCGGTGAGAATTCTTCAGGACATGTAAAGACCGCGTCTGAAACGTCTGAGCTCTTCGCACCAGCGCTGTGCTATTGCCGGCAGGATGAACCCTGGATCAAGCCTCTGCGGTACAACTTTCGCATTGTGTCTCATCTTCTGGCTCGGAAGCTGGTAGAGGGCCCGCTGTCTTGGTGTCTAGAACCAACAAACTCCACTCCCTCGTGGCCCAGCTGCTCCACCTGCTGTGCAAAACGACACAGCTTCTTCACGAAGGCAGGGCAACCAGCTCAATTCCGGTTTTGCGCTCAGTGTCGAGGGACGATCGAGTCACGAGGTATCAAGAATTTCGGAGAGCCCGTCGTGGACGATGCGCTCCCGGCAGCCAGCCGAGGTTCATGAAACATGCTTGCTGCGACAAAAGGTGCTGTGGACAACAACTGCAGCCAGTGCGACGAGGTCAGCAGATGCGCCCAAGGACCATCCACTCAGCGGTGTCAGCTGCCGCTCTGAATACCGCAGAGGCTTGTGCTGCATGTCAGGAACAAGCGTTGCGGAAGGGGGGGTGGTCCTCGGACCCTGATAGGAACCATCAGAAGTGCTCCAAAAAACTTCCAAACGACACATTCCCATGAACTTCACGCTCTTGCAGCCGATCTTGTGTAGGAGCTGACGTTGTGGCATCGCTGCTAAGGCTGTGCACAAGCTTATTGTTTCCATGTCAGCATGAGGGACAAGGACAGCCATCATATGTTAAGGATATTGGTAGGTTTTTGGTCCAAGACACGGTCCCAGCCGCCACCCGAGATTCGGGTGATACTTGCTATGAAGCGTGCTCTGTCCTGCCCTGTCCTCAGACTGCGACGAGGTCAGCAGAGGTTTCCCAGACCCATCCGCAGAACACAGGCTGGCGCTGCGTTTGCGGGAGGAGTCCTCAGACGTGTTTTTCCAGATGACCTCTTGCAGGTATGGGTGACCCTACTGATGCTGCCCGGCTCGACTCCAACGCCGCGAGGCTGGTTCGCGGACTCCGTGTAGGGTTTCTGCCGGACGCTGGTGTCTCAAGAGCTACTGTGGTTCCCGCACCTGAACATGCATTCTCACAGCCTGAGATGATAATTAGTAGTTGAGTAGTCGAGTAGTAGGCGGAGCACCAGCTTACTCTTTTGCGTCAGTGTCGAGGGACAACCCTTTTTGACATGTCAAGGATGCCGGGATGTTCGTCCTCGAGCACATGTTCTCAGCAGCAGCCCGAGATTCTGGAGACATGCTCGTTGCGAAGCATAAATACTGAAGATGAGGAAGCCCACCCTTTCATGCCCTTCCCTCGGAATGCGGTGAGGTCAGCGGATGACTCCGCGGGTACGGGCAGTCCGCGCAGCAACGTCGGCCTCAGAGGCTCGCCATGCGTTTGAGGGACAAGGTTTGCCATTGGTCCACCTGAGCAAACTCTCTAGGCCCAGAAAGAAGCCTCGGAAGTGTTTCCACTCCAAACTTGCGCAGATAGCTTTGTTACAATCCTTGTTTGCCTTACTGGTAGTTCCAAGGACAGCAGCAGCCGAATCACTGGGGTGATTGTAGATTCTTTAGGGGATACACCGAAATGCCGACCCTTGATTCTTTAGTCGGCTACGCAGCACCTAGAGTCAGCTAGAGTTGCAATTTATCGGGAAGTGGTGACCAAACAAATCAATTCTACTCGTTTCAGCCGTTTTACCGGTTTTGCCAAGTCCGAGTTTGAGGGCCAATTTCGGTGAGCAGATTAACCGATCAATCACTTCACCGCTTTAGCCGTCTGACAGTATTTGTTTCAAGTCCGAGTCCGAGTCCAAGGATTCACCTTTAACCGCTTCATCAAGTCCGAGTCCGAGTTCGTGGGGCTGGAACCCGAGTCTGAGTTCATGGGACGGGAACCCAACAACGAGTTCGTGCGACTGCGACTGGGGGCCCAGTACGTGGGGCCGAAATCCGAGTCCGAGTCCGATGGACAGGAGTCCGAGTCTGGGTCCTCGCGGCCGCAATCCGAGTCCGAGTCTGGGGTATGGGAGCCTCGAAACCATCGAAAAAGTTCAAACTGTGCACGATGTTGGATGACTTCCAAGTTGGCCGCGAAAGTGAAAACACAAAAATAGGTTTGCCTTGAACTAATTCGGTCAACTGGAGCGGAGTATGTGGAGTCCGAGCCCCCTTCCCTTCCCCTTATGCCTGCAAGATCAGCAGCCGGATCCAATTCCGAGTCCGAGTCCATGTTTCGGTTAAACGGTTAAACGGTGAAATCACTCAACGTTTATCGAGCCCGAGTCAGAGTCCGTAATTCGGTTAAACGGTCCTAAAACGGTGAAGGTAAACAATGTCAACCTGCCCCGTTATGCTCTAGAGTTTCACGTTTCAGCAGCATTTGCTGCGTGTTCGGTAAGACCTTGAGACCTGGGCGTTTTGCTTTCCTACTTGCAGGCTTTGCTAATGACAATACATACGGCTGAAATTGTATGGCTGTAGTTATTTCAATCATAACCCCACTGAATTATTGGACTTCTAGCAGCACTGTTTGTGGCTGCGGAGGTACGTCAATGTAGACTCACATCGGCATGGCTCAAAAGTCAGCAAGAGCGCTTAGGGTTTGGGGTTCAGGGTTCAGGGTTTGGCATTTTGGTTTAGGGTTTTAGTTTTTGGTCTGCCTTGGTGCCAGGAAGGATTGATTCCTTCATTCGGAATGCGCTGTTGTCACTGATGTTTGTCAGGGAAGACATGGAGGAAGTGCTGAGCTTCGTATCCCAGGCACAGTCGAAATTGTCAGACTTCAACTTTGGCGGCTTCGGTAGGCTTGCTCAGTCCCCGCGGTTTGCAGATGCAGCTCGGCGACGTCCTGATGCTGGTGCCCCCTGACGGCCACGATCACGAAATGCTATGCCTGTCGCCGTCACGCCCTTGGTTGAACATGAAACCAAGATTTCACAGCAGGTGACATGATGTGACGAGCCGTGCTTGTTTGATTTGAAGAGGAACTTGATTTGCTTGTGCGCGAGTTGTGTGATGATGTGGTTTGCAGTCGAAACACAAATCTCAGTGCAGACCGGTCCTGCGCAACGCCGAAGAAGATGAGGCTATGGACGGAGCGGTTAGCTGTGGAGGAAGACATGTCGTGTTGGGTAGAAGTTCTGGAAGTTCGGCGTGAGGCCGGCACCCACGGCTTTCTAATCCGTGTAGTGGCAGTCAGGATTGATGTTCTTCCCCCAAGCTGCGCCAGGCAACAAGTGCCATTAGCAACTCTTACATTCTCTCATTGGATGCCAATGGCGACTTGCGCGTTGAAGAGCGGGAGGACGCGGAAGGCCCGGCTGGCGTGGTGTGTGCTTGTTCCGACTTGTACATGTTTGCGGATAGGCCGTTGTCGCTCAGAGCCCCTGTTTTTTTTTTCGGGTCATCCTCGAGCAGAAGTTTGGTTGGCCCCCGATCGGAACCAGTTCGACGTGTCTGTGGCCACCCAGGCCTTGCTCGAGTGTAGGCATGCGTGGCAGGCGTATTGCACTACCCAGCTGCAAGCATTTCCGAGCTCTCAGGTTGCTGGAGACATACAGCGTAATGTGCAGGGCTTGAGTCACGGGCTTACCTTCCGTGGACTGGGACAAGCTGTCCAGAGCATAACATGTTAGCTGCGCTGCACGTCGAGGTCTGTCCTCGGCTGTGTGCGCCTGCATGTGTGCCGGGTGCTCTCAGCTCTCGCCTCAGCTTGTCTGTCGGTTATTGCATAAATCTTGCATCTTGGACGTGCGGTGAGCAATCTTTTGAGAAGCGCGAAGGGCAAGTCTCTTCTTCTTCAGCGCTGAGTACTCGGTTGCGATGCAACAGCTTTGTCTTTGCCATGGCATACTCTCGTGCCTGCGAGCCACAATCAGGGCCCTTCCATCGGCGCTGTGCACCAGCATCATTGCTCTTTTCTGGCAGTACTGTTCTCAGCCCTATGAACTCCCCCACCTGCACCACTTGCTATGTGCCATGGCTGAGGATGTGCTCGGAGAGGTCCGGCGTGTTGCCTCATCGGCTGATGGCTGCAGCACGCCCGGGGGGCTTAAAATTCTGGGGACCAACCACCCCAACACATGCCATTGTTGCAAGTGCGTGTAGGGCTAATGTAGGGCCGAAGACATCGCAGTCCACGAGCTGCTTTGCCAATTGCTCCAGGTGAGATTGTGTCTGGTGCAGTGCAGGATGAAACCATGCCTGAAGGCACAGGTGCTGGCGAAACTCACCGAAGGTGATGAAGTTTTATTTCTACTGATTCCTTTTTTGAAAAAGTTGATTTTTCAAAAAGCCCGAAGATGAGTTTTGCCCGGCACAAAGCGTTCCCGAATCGGGGCCATATTTTGCCTGGCGCAAAGCGTTCCCATATCGGAGCCATATTTCGAATTGTCCCTTTGGGCATTTTTCCTTTAATCGTCTGCATTGTTTGCTGACTGATTTTGAGAGTATGCCTTGGCTTCGTGCAACATTCCGGCTCCAGGGAGGATGGTGGGAAACCCCGTAGCTGGGCAAATGCTCAGTTTTTGTGTTTGTCCTGTGCCGGGGGTTGTGGTTTATCCCGTAACGACTTGCTCCTAAGACGCTAGACCTCAAGGCCTCATCTCTCAAGCCTAAACCCTCATTCTTCGCAGCATGTTCCTCAACTCAACGGCGGCATCGATGCCATGCTCGGTCGGGCCAAATTTCCGAGCTTGTAAGTTTTGTAGCCGACAGCTCGCAAGCTTCAGTTTCTGAGCCTTGTACAAGTCGTATCAGCAGCGGATGGAGCTTACGCTGGCACCAACGACCGCTGCCTGTTTGGGACGCGGAACATGCTTTTTGCGCAGAGGTGTGGGGGGAGGGAAGCTCAGGGGGGGGAAGGGAGGGGAGGGGGGGGAGGGGAGGGGGTGGGGGGCGGGTGAAGGGGTAGGGTGGGTGGGACTGCATGCAGAGAGCCAATATCTGTTTGGTTCACCGGAACGGGTGTAAGAAGTGGGGAACAGAGGGAATCCGAACAGGAGCCTCTGACCGCTTCGGCCGGGGCCGAGGCGAGTTACTTACGCCACTATATTGCCGAAATCCTTCCTCCCCCTTACACGTCGAAGAGCACCGAAACTGGGAGCCCTGGCCCCTGAAGCCTAAGCACTCAAAAACACTATATGGGAGTTTCCGAGAATTCGGGGGCACCATATGTGGAGGTCCTTGTAATATGGACCTACTATTTAGGGTACTATATGAGGGTCCCTATTTTCGGAAACTCCCAAATTAAATGCTCAACATGAGTAACGCTGCGGGCGTCAAAATCCTAAACCGTCGTACTCTTTGGCTAAGGGATATTCCGAATTGCTTTGCGGAGCCCTATCGAATTCACGCAGATGTGTTTCGAGGGAGTTCATGTAAGGCTCAAAGAGGTTGGGAGTATGAGTTCTCCGTGCATAGGGATTTCCTACAAACGGCAATAGCAAGCGTTTCTGGTCGGAAGTTTGGACGCGGAGGTCAGGGGGTCTGGGATTTCGCAAATCCTCTGTTCGAGGGTTTGGGGCCTGGGGTTCTGAATCCTGTTCGTGGTAGGGTTCAGGATTTTGGTTTAGGGTTTACGTGATCAGAAGGTGGGATTGGGCAATGGAATCGATCTTTTCGTTGGTAGCTGTATGATGATCTACCCAGCGCTCTTGTCGACCCTATTCGGTTCCCATGACGTACCCACGGTGTAAACTTCTACTAGCTTCCAGTGCCCCATTTGTTTATAATTTGTTATATCGTATCATGTTGTGTTATGCTACATTATGTTATGCAATGTTGTGTTACACGAGCAATGCCATATTATACGATACTGGATTATACCGCACTATACTATACCATGCCATGCTCTAACATGCTGTACTATGCTTTTCTATGCTATACTACGCTATACTATGCTACGTTATACCGTGCTATACTCATGTACTGCATGTACTCTACTGGGGTCTGCTAGGTTATATGATATTATACGATGTGATGTAGCATCGTCCTATTTTGTATCATATCGTAATATTACATTATACCTACATCACATCAGCTTGTATCGGATGGTATCAAACTATATTGTTAGATCTTATTGCGTTGTACTGTTGCATGTCATCTTATAACATGTTGTCAGGCGCTGGTGTTGAGGTTCGGGGCTCTCAGGGCGTGCCTAAACTAGTTCTTGGTAGAAGCTTCGTGCCTTTCCCACAACTTGGGCCTTGTAGAGATCCGGGACATTGTAAGTTGGAGTCAGAGGGCTTACTTAGAGGCTCAGGGGACTTAGTAAGTAGGTTGTAAGTAGAGTTATAAGTACTCCAAATGGAGATACCCCAGCTATAACCCTACTTATAACCGACTTACTAAGTCCCCTGGGCCTCTGAGCACCTTTCAGGGAGTCATAGATGTGCAAGGAGCCGGCAGACCAACATCCTTAAGCAACATGAGTGCAGGATCCAGACAGATGCGATGTCGGTGACCTCCATCATGAAGACCTTGGCAGCTTGAGCAGCAAAGGTCGAGGGTCATCACCTCGGACCTAGAGTAGGCCCTTATGTCCTGTTTTTAGGGTTCACCCTTATAAGCCCCTTTAACACCAAAAAGGGCACCCTTTTTATTCCTAGGTTGCTCTTGGGTCATCACAGAGCCAAACAGGCTTGCAAGGTGTATTGTACTGTCAAGTTCTATTCGAATGACACCGAGAAATCTCGTACTCGTTTCTGAGGCTCCTGTAACGAGACAAACCTTGAGTCCTGTTGTTGGCCTAAGCAAGTACACTTTGCACCCCAAGCCATGACGTATTTTTTGCTCCATGTAATCCCCGACAGCAGAAAATCTAGCTTTTGCTCATTGTCGCCGTTGCTGCTGCTTCTGTTACTGCTGCTGACAGTTCTCCTTGTGGCAGTGGGTGATTTTGTGGAGTTGTTTTAATTTCGAAAGGTGCAGGTGCAGTAGGACTAGAGCATATTCCCTGCATCAAGCCCTAACCCTACACTTGAAACTCCCAAGCGTACTGTCCGAGCCCCCAAGCCCGAAAGAAGTGTTCATGGCTGTTTCGTTTGAATTGGGACCTTGTCTAGAAATCTAAAGTCTCTATGATCCCTAAACCCACAATTTCTTGCCCAGGCCCGCTACGAGCAGTGGCAGCAGGCGATGTGTGTCTTCTCGGAGCTTTCGCAAAGATCTGTCCAGAGGCCCGGAAAGCTTCGGCAGGTCAAGCGCACTTCTGATATGGGTTCCATTAGCTTACATATTACCTACTAATGTTATTACTGTCACTGTACGGCTATAGTTACTGTTCCTGACATTTCTACCGTGACTGCTACGCTACTGCTGCTGTTACTATTTTTGTTACTGTTATTGTTATTTGTTGTCGTTATTGTTAGTTATTGTTGTTTGTTATTGTTGTTGTTGTTGTTGTTGTTGTTGTTGTTGTTGTTGTTGTTGTTGTTGTTGTTGTTGTTGTTGTTGTTGTTGTTGTTGTTGTTGTTGTTTGTGTTGTTGTTTGTGTTGTTGTTTGTGTTGTTGTTTGTGTTGTTGTTGTTGTTGTTGTTGTTGTTGTTGTTGTTGTTGTTGTTGTTGTTGTTGTTGTTGTTGTTGTTGTTGTTGTTGTTGTTGTTGTTTGTTGTTGTTTGTTGTTGTTTGTTGTTGTTTGTTGTTGTTTGTTGTTGTTTGTTGTTGTTTGTTGTTGTTTGTTGTTGTTTGTTGTTGTTGTTGTTGTTGTTGTTGTTGTTGTTGTTGTTGTTGTTGTTGTTGTTGTTGTTGTTGTTGTTGTTGTTGTTGTTGTTGTTGTTGTTGTTGTTGTTGTTGGTTGTTGTTGTTGTTGTTGTTGTTGTTGTTGTTGTTGTTGTTGTTGTTGTTGTTGTTGTTGTTATTGTTATTGTTATTGTTATTGTTATTGTTATTGTTGGATTCTGGAGTTAGGGATTTAGGTGTTCTAGTTCTTGTTCTTGTCCTTGTGGGTGTGGTTGTGGTTGTGGTTGTGGTTGTGGTTGTTGTTGTTGTTGTTGTCATTATTCTTGTCATTGTTATGAGTACCAGTATGCACATGAGTATTACTAACCACTATTCGTCTGAGTATTTGTATTAGCATCAGCATTAGTATTAGTATTACAACCTCACTTGTGTTTTCTGCGTTTGTTTTGCGATGGTGATGGTTGTTCTTGCTTTTTCTATTTCTTGGTACTTGTCGTTGGCGGGCTAATTGTTCAAAACGACACTTTCCACCGAAACCCCTTCGAGCAAAAGCCTTCAAAAATACAACTTGAACTCCGTGACGTAATCCCGGAATCGGGGTAGGTCCGAAACCCTAAGCCCCAAAGCCCTGCCTCCCGACATGCCTTGGATGGGTGCACCCTCATAAAGAGGACCCTAAAAAGGAACCCTGCAACTTAGGATAAGCTAAAGGAGGCCTGCAATTTCGGGTTTAGGCTTAGGGTTTAGGCAGAGGGACCCGACAGTTTGGAGAACGACCCACATGGGTGGTTGTCAAAATTATGGTCCCTTTTTGTGTCCCTATTGTAACACACTGCACCTAATATTTAGGGTACCCAAAAAGGAACCTTTATTTTGACAACTACCCACATGCCTTGGAGGAATGTCGTCGTCTTCAGCACGGCGGTGGTCGCCTGTTCCAAGGGCCGACGCTGGGATCAGGCGTGTGCTGACGTTTCATAGGGGTTTAGGGTTACAATATTTGATATGGAAGTCTTTCTCTGACTCTCTCTCTCTCTATATATATATACAGTTATACTATGTTACATTGTATTATATTATGTTATATTGGCTTTTACAACATTTTTCATGATCTCTCTCTCTATATATATATATATATATGGGGGGGTACCATATGCATATCTATATATATATATATATAGAGCATACTTTATTCAATCCAGCAGAGTGGGAGTTCGGCTGGTGTTGCTTTTGCAGGTGCTCGACATTTTTTGTCAGGTGGGCCAATACCTATTCAACATCCCCCCTTTTCTGAGCCATGGCTTTTGCGATGTCTGTAGCAGCTCATGCTCCGATATGAGGTACTCGGCTCGACCTAAACCCTAAACCCCTAAACCCCTTAACCCCTAAACCCTAAACCTTAAACCCCTAAACCAATAAACCCTGAACCCCTAAACCCTAAACCCTAAACCCTCCTGCATCCTAGAACCCTCTGCCCGGCCTTCAAGTCATACACCCAAAGCCCTTATAGCCTGGTTGTAGCAACAGTCCTACTTGGAGGATCATGGGACTTAGTAACTAAGGTTATAAGTACCCTAATTGGAGTTATAAGTATAGTTACCTTATTTATAACCCTAGTTACTAAGTCCCATGATCCTCCAAGTAGTATCTTTGGTACTTGATGGTAGGCCCAAAGCCTCGTCAGGCCCTGGCGGTGCTTCAGAGCATGGCGAAGGAGTCGGTGCGAGGAGACCTGGTGATTTGGAAGCTCTGTTGCAAGCACGAACACGGCCGACAAACGAAACCCCGAAGGCCCTAAGCCTAAACCGTACACCGTAAACTTAAACCCTACACCCTGAGCCTCAAACCTCAAAGGTCCGGGAACCCCAGAAAACAAAAAAACCTGTCATCAGCCTGCCACTGCGTTCTACGTCTACTGCTGCCGCTGCCGCTGCCGCTGCCGCTGCCGCTGCCGCTGCCGCTGCCGCTGCCGCTGCCGCTGCCGCTGCCGCTGCCGCTGCCGCTGCCGCTGCCGCTGCTGCTGCTGCTGCTGCTGCTGCTGCTGCTGCTATTGTTTCGAACACGGCGGCTTCGATGGCCGCTGATGCGACTGCCACTTCCGACTGTCCGACACAACAACTACAGCAAACCTGAATCCCAGGAATTCCGCCATCAGCGCCTGCGAGCGTGCTTCTGCACTTCGGCTCGAAGGTTCTAAATCCAACACACAATGTTGTTGTTTGAGATTGCTTGAGATTATCTAAGATTAAATTATATAAGATTATATAAGATTTTGTAAGGTTATGCAAGATTATATCAGATTATATATCTGACCTTCGTATTGAGGCGCCAAGCCCCCCGAACTCTTGAGCCCTGCCAATCAGCCGGTCGAGCCTTAAACCGCTTGGCGTTCAGAGCTTTGTTTTTTGGTTGTGGAGTTTTTTGGGTCTGGGATTTACTGTCGTGGCTTAGCTTTCAGGTTTAAAGATGGCATTGCTTTCGCGGCTTAGGATTGAGGCCGTTTGCCATACATTAAACCCCAAGCCCTAAGCCCCATGTTAAACCCTCCACCCTAAACCCTGTTTAAAAACAACAGAAAACCTAAACCCGACATCCTAAACCCTACACCCTAAACTCTTTAAAAACACAACAACCTAAACCCTAAACCCTAAATCCTAAACCCAAAACAAACTACGCCCAGACGCGAGGCCTGGTCCCGAGCTGTGCAGCTGCTGGTGGCGCTTCCCCAGAGGTCGCTGCAAGGGGAGACTGGGCATGACCCGCTTAGAGGCTTGTTTCAGGTTTTTCTAGAGCTCTCATAGAGCTTTATGGGTGTTGATAAGGTTTTACATGGCTTCTAAAGATTTTTCAAGATAATCATTTTTTATAGGGCTTTTATAGGCTTCGAGTAGGGCCTTCTTGGAGGCCTGGGTAGGGTACCCTTGTGGTTCCTTTCCTCATTGCAACAGCAACATAGCCTTGTGGTGCTGGGAAAGTGACCTTAATCTACAGAGCTGCATGCTAAGATTGAGAGTGTCGAAGGTGTCAAAGTGAGGGAAAAGAGTCGAGGGTTTAGCTTTCGTCGTATTGCCAATGTTTCTGTTGGTGCTTACTAGTACCTCTGGCATTGTTCGTCTTGTCCCTATGTTGATACTTGAAGACTAATGCCGCTGATGTCAAGGAAACGCTTCTTCTTCTTCTTCAAGCCGCAAAACCCTAAACCCGGAGTTCTGAACGTCTAAAGCTCAGCCGTCAAGCACCAAGGACATCATCTCGCATAACTCTGCCATCAGCGCGTGCAGCAAGGACACGCTGGGGTCTTTCCATAGGCTTTTTTGACACGTCTAAGATTTCAAACCGCTTTTGTGCCGTCTAAGAGGGTTCCAAAGGGTTGTATATTTTGTTGTTTCATTCGGGCTTAACAGGGTGTTAGCATATTGTCGGCTTTGAGAGGGTGTCAATAGGCTTTCACAGGGTTCCAAAACTTCTGTCTCAACGAGCTCAATGTCTAGATGGGTGGTTGTCCAAACTAGGGTCCCGTTTTGGGTCCTTGATATAATACGGCACCTATGATTTAGGGTACCCAAAAAGGGACCTTAATGTTGAAAACTACCCATGTAGGAGCATGAATCGGGGACCTTGCCTTTTTTCTTAGGGTTGTCAAGGCATGGGGTTTCATCACGGAGGGCGGAATTGATGAGAATGGTTGCATTTGCACTTGCCAGATGACTGGTTATGGTGCAAGGGAAGAAGGCCTTAACCTGCACATCGTAAACTTCTTGCTTTCGGGTTGAGGATTTAGGGTTCAAGCCTCAAAAATATTTTATTTGACAGCCGACGGAACCGTTCAACAAACATGTGTGGAAGCCTTGACACGGAGAGCTCAATTAACATCCTTTGCAGAGAGCCCCCGGCAGGAAAGGTCACACCCTGGGCCCGAAACCATAAAAACCCTCAACCCCTAAAAGAGTACCCTGAATAGTAGGATCCAAATATGTACCCTAAACTTCCAAGTGCAGAGGCCACGCTATAAAGCCTCCATGAGCATGCGATAAGACTATACAAATCCCAAACCCACTCAACCCTAAATCCCTAAACGAGCCTAACACCCTAACCCCTAAACCCCTTAAGCCATTAAACCCCTCAACCTTTAAACCAGCCTAACACCCCAGCCCCTAAACCCCTGAACCCCTCAAACCCCTCAACCCCTAAACCAGCCTAACACCCTAACCCTTAAACCCCTAAACCCCAACACTCCCTGCGGCAGGCGGAGCAGTGGAGCCTGGCCCTCTCGGTCCTTGCAGGTCTCGACGCGGTGTCCCTGCAAGGACGGGAGGGGTTTGAAGGGCTCGGGGTTCCGCTTTTTAGGGTTCTGGGGTTGGGGTTCTCAGGGCTTGGGGTTCCGGGTTCAGGGTTTGGGGTTGAGTCCGGATTTAAGAGTCACAGATTTTTGTTTTTTTTTTGTGGCTGTTTGGGGTTGCTTGGTTTCGGGCTTCGGGTTCAGTCGGGGTTTAAGAATCACCATGACAAAAATTGTCAAGATGAGTGTGGCTCGTGGCTCTGTTGCCCGTTGAAAACTGCAGCCGACAGCGCCCGAGACCATACTCCTGCTAGCACAACGGCAGGATTAGTAGCCGGGGCAATCTTGGGACACACGACTATTGAGAAGACCGGAAACATCGACAAACGCAGGCACCATTGTCACCTTCGGAGCAGCTTTGGACGCTTGCGCCCGGGCAGGTGCTTGGCAACAGGCGGGATGCGGTTCAAAGTCATCAGACAGATAGGAAACACGTAATATATATATATATATATATATATATATATATATGTATATATATATATATACATACATATACACACATGTATGTATAATTTAATGTATTTATTTGACATAGTGCTCTAGCCGTTCCCCGCTCATAAAATCCGGGTAGAAAGTCCTAGTGCCCTAAACCCTAAGTGCCTCCTTACACCCTGAACTCAGCGACTCCTCCGCCGATCTGCGAGCGAGTCCCTCGCCAGGCTCTGCTGCTCTGTGCCGAGCTCCCCGCCAGAGGTCTGCAGCCCAATGCGGTAACCGAGGAGCCTTCGAGACGGTTTCACGCCCGAGGATGTATTTCTGGGCTAGGAGTATGTATGTATGTATGTATGTATGTATGTATGTATATATATATATATATATCAGATAGATAAGGGTTGACGTGCATCTTCCTCAGGAGAAGTAGCTGAACCTTTCCTGAAGCTCCACAGAGTAGTGATGCCGGCAGCGAATCGCTGCCCCTCAGCAGGGTTCGTGGATTGAGCCTTCAACCCTGAGCGTGAGAGTGCCTCCGACCCCAGTCTCACTGAAGCACACCTACCGCACTGTATACCGGAGTTTCCGAAAATGAGGGGTACCTTATTGTGGGGTCCTAATAATAAGGATCCTACTATATAGGGTATTATATTTGGCTCCCCTATTTGCGGAAACTCCTATACACCCCAAATCCAAACCCCAAATGTCAGCCCTTTCACCCGAATACGACCAATAAAGCTCAATGAAACTCCTTTGCAGTGAAACACAAACAAAACCCTTATACTCTAGCCCTAGTAGCAAGTAAATCCCTCCCTAGTATAATCTTAATACAGCCTCAATACAACCTCAATACGACCTTAATATAACCTTAATAGTACCTTACTACACACTTACTAGAATGCTAGTGGAATCCTAAATCACAAGGACCCTTAGGGGTGTAGGGGGATGGGGGGGCGTAGGGGGCTCTGGTACCTATGACAAGGACTCAATCATGTAAGGAAGTATACCCCCCTAAGTCCCTAAGGCTCCCTATGACTAAAGGGCCCTAAACCCTAAACCCCCCTAAACCCCAAACCATAAACCCTAAAGGGCCAAGTCGCTCTCCCCTCTTCTGAGGGGCAAACAAAGATCGCAGGACCGCGCGGTGCGCGCGTTCTCCAAGGCCTCCCTGTGGCAAAATGTCCTGGAGGTGGGCCACCTTTCTACTGTAAAGGAGGGTTCTGCTTAAAAGGCCTATCAATGTGCGAATGAAACTTATTTTCTTCCCTTTATGATTATGGGGGCAGGTTGAGCAGTGTCTTAAAGGGCCGCTGTCGGGGGTCATTCAGACCCTTTTATAAAACCTTTCGTAAGACGTCCCTAAACCCTGAACCCTAACTTTCGTAAGGCAACACGGGGTGCTCCGGGGCCAGGTCTTCTGGACGGCCTCCAAAGCCCAGCGGGGGACTGCCCGCCTCTACAACGCGGCGATCACTGCGCAGCTTGGGTTTAGGGATTAGGGTTTAGGCTTTAGGTTTAGGGTGTCAGCGCCTAAGGTCTATAGTCTATGGGGGGTTTATAGGGATACCCAGGAGTGGATGCATCAAACCCGCAGCATTCCGATACCCCATGAACCCTAAACTCCCACACGGAAACCCCAAACCCAAGCCCGAACTGCGAAACCAAAGAGCTCTAAACTAAAAACTTTAAACCCTCGACCCTAATCCCAACAGCCGTACAGTCCTAAAGCTTAAGCCCAGCAAGGTACGGCCGGGGGCAGCACTGGCGGAATGCCCTCTCCTTATTCGAGGCAAGTGGGATGAAGGTAGGTGGGCTAATCCCGAAATAAGAGTCCTTACGCAAGAGACCCTTAATCCTACCACCTTCATCCCACCTTTTGAGGCCTCCAAGAGGGTGGTTGTCAAAAACAGGGTCCCTTTTTGGGTCCCTATTATTATACGGCACCTATTGTTTAAGGTACCCAAAAAGGGATTGTAATTTTGACAACCATCCAAGAGCTTTCCTGCATTCTGAGGGGAGCCAGGCGAAAGAAGACGTTTTGTTGGTTCTCTCAAGTCCTGTTTTCAGCTTTCAACCGTGAGTTTACCTAACCTGAAACCCTAAACTCATAAATAAGTTTAAAAACCCGAAACCTTAAATTCACAAAAAATCTAAAGCCTCATAAGGCTTGTTTTCCGCAAGGCTTCTGATTGACAGGTTGAGGCTTGTCGAGGGAAGGGCCAAGGGTTGAATGAGTTTCGCTGCAACGCTTTGGTTTTGATTTGGTCATGCGTAGCTGGGTCCTACGGCTGATGAACATAAATCCAGCATTACCCATAACAAGGAATATACCACATTTCCCATAGTTTAGGGTCCTTGAGGTAATGCAGGATTTATATCATCAACCATAGTTAAGGAATTCAATAGAAGTTACCACAATAAGGAATCCATATTATTTACCAAACATGCCTATTGTGGTAACTTATACTACTTCTTTAACAAGGACCTAGTCATGAGTAACGAAAGAGGCTCGTGAGCTTCAGCGTTTGAGGGCTTTGGCGGTTCAGGCCTTGCGGGTTTTAGGGGTTTGAGTCAGAGGTGCAGGCTTGAAACGGTTAGACTCACCGAGCCCTACAACCCCGGCCCACAACCAACACGGCACACCATAGATGTATGAATGCCCCTGTAACTCCTCACCCCGCACCCTAACGTGAGTGGGATAGGATTGTGTGTGGCCGGACAGCTGTGCTGCTCCAGCAGAACAAGGTACCTGGCTCCAAGATCTCATCATGTAAATTGCTTCCTGAACCCCAAACCCAAAAGCCTTGCGCCCTGATAAATTAAGGTTGGCTGAAATTGTAAACACCAAAGCTCACGCACTCATTCGCGATGGCATGTCCGTGCATCCAACATGTAGGGGCCAACAATGGTGGTGCTATGCGGCCATCGCCAAATCGCGAACCCACAGACTCCAGTGTCCCTTCTTAGTTAAGGGGTATACTAAGTGCGAAATTCGTGGACGGGGAAACACCCTTCGAAGCAATATTAGAGCCCCTTTGCCCTATAGATCTCCCTTAATTGAGCCCCAAAAGCCCTACAGGACATGGTGGGCCACACGATCCCTCGCGACGTGGTGACCTTCTGCGCGGCACTCGCGGCCTGCGACCTTCGGTTGGAGCAGCGCTGTTGTTCCTTTTTTGTGAGCTCTGGGGGGGGGGTATCCCGTTACTAAACCGAAACCCACATAAGAGGCAGCTCCATGCACAAAAACCGTGCATGGGTCCCACCTCGCCTTTCAATTTGCTATAGAAACCCGAAACTGAATTGAAATCTAAGATTAGTAGCAAGACGCCCTTTGCAAGAGGAACAGGAGTAATTATCAGGCTGCTAAATTGCTGTTTCTAGCGTGCTTGCTACCAGAGGTTACCTGAGGTCTGGGTTCCTGCTGAGCTACGGTCAATCTCCGAGATCGTCGGACCTTGTTCGTGTTATTGTTATGATAATGACCATCATGGTGATCAGTGGTATATTAAGCGTCCCTTTGCGCAGCAAGTAAAGGGCCCTAATCATGGCGAGTTCTATTTGTTGAGATCCTGAGCCCTTCAAGCCCCGGAGCCAAGGGCCCAAACCTTAGACTCAAAGCCCGAAGCGACGAATCCTACCAAAACCCAAGCCCCAAACCATAACGCTCCGAAGCCCTACTTACCCTACTTAGATAGTGAACGGGGGAACTTGAAACTAATTGGCCTTATATGCTTGCTCTATCTTAGAAAGTTTGAACTTTTTGGGCCCGGTCGTTGAAGAAGAGAGCCTAAACCCTAAAATCCCTAAAACCCTAAAACCCTAAACCCTAAAAGCCTATACCCCTAAACTCCTAAACCCAAAACCCTAAACCCCTAAGCCCCCAAAACCCAAACCCCCCCCAACCCCTAAGCCAAATGACTTGTAAAAGCCGAGGATAAGGCGGGGAACTGGGAGAAGGCGGAGCTGCTCCTGGCGCAGGCAGGGGTGTTGGGGTTCCTTCACTTAGAGGCCCAGGGACTTAGTAAGTCTGTTATAAGTAGAGTTTCCATTTAGGGTACGTATAACTCTACTTATATCCTACTTACTAAGTCTCCTGGACCTCTAAGTACGGGTTCGTACAGGGCTTCAAGCTTGAGTTTAAGGGTTCAGGGCTCTAAGGTTAAGGTTCAAGTTTACGGGTTCATGTATGGCTTCAAGTTGAAGGGTCTAGGGCTTTCAGGTTTTGGACTGTAGGGTTTGGGGGGTTTTGGGTTTTTTGTTACTTTTAGGATCCTTTAGGGTAAGATTTCGCTCTTGGCTTCGGGCTTTTGCGAGGCTTAGCGAGGCGAGTGTCGAAGCTTTGGTGTTGCACGTTGAAGATAGGGTGAAGGGTAAACCCTAAACCCTGAACCCTAAACCCCGAAACCCTAAACCCTGAACCTTAAAACGATTATTTCGGTTCGAGCTCCGCGTGAGTCCGGCACGAACCTGCAGAGAGACGACCCCGGAGGGCCGCCGACCGACGTCAATGAACTTCCAGCAAGGGCTGCTCTCATCGCATGGAAGCTGCGCCGAAGCCCCAAGCCCCTAGATCCACAAACCTTCAATCCCCGAAACTTCAAATCCCAGCAAGCCCCAACCCCTGAATCTCTGAAAGCCTAGTCCCAGAGAGCCCAATACCCCTTCATTAAGGAATATTCCTTATATAAGTCATAGTAGGCTATTCGGGATCCTACTATAAATTAAGGTATATTCCTTAATTAAGGGATATTGGAGTCTCTGGGGTTTCCTAGATGACCCCTTTAAGCCGGTGCACTCAGACCCCGGCCAGGCCGAAAGGTGCACACGCCTGGACGTCGAGATCTACAACGCCGCCATCAGCGCCTACGGCAAGGCCCTCGCGTGGCAGAGGGCCTTGCTTCTTGGAGGAGTTCAGCATTCATGACCCACTATGGGGGCCTTAATAGTTACCGATGCTCTTTTGGGGGCTCCTTGTTAGAATTACAGTATAGTTGGCCCCAAAACGCTATTCTAATTATTAAGGCTCCTATATTACATCATCAATACTTGGAGGTTCATGGGTGGTTTGTAGGTGGGCTTGTGAGTTCCCTGATGTGGGTTATTGTAACTACAGTTACGACGTATAAATTATAAGCCCACCTATAACTACCCATGAACCTCCAAGTAGAGTTATTAGAGCTCCTTTTGTTGGCTGTTTAGGACCAAAAGTTTCAAGAGGCAGCTCACAGGGAGCTTTTGATGTGGAACAAAGCCGCGCATGTCCCTAAACCCTAAATCCTAAACCCTAAACCCTAAATCCTAAACCCTAAACCCTACATCCTAAACCCTAAACCTTAAATCCTGTACCCTAAACCCTAAACCCCCCAAACCTAAGCGCTTCAGTGCTTCTTCGCCGTTCTTTATGCCTCAAGCCTGAACTGAGGCCTGAACCCTTAAACTGCTCAAGCCTTATAGTACTAGTATAAAGTTAAATGTAGGAACCCCTGGGTCCTATATAACCCAAAAATAGTAGGATTCATATAAGGAACCCTAATAAAGGCCCAAGGTTTCTTAATCAGATTCCTACATTACTCCAAAACCTCATCCTGATCATTTTGCCCTGCCAAGGGGGGGGCCTTGTAGTAATCGTATTTCATACTCCAAAACAGTCTTCTCATTATAAGGCCCAGATTTTTTACGCCATTCTAAACCGTAAACCTCTATGCCCTCAACCCTAAACCCTAAATCTTAAACTACCCTAAACCTCTATTCCCGAAGCCCTAAGCCCTAAAACCTCTATCCCCTCAACCCTAAACCTTAACCTCTAAACCCTAGACCCTAAACTCCAAAGCCCTAAACCTTAAACCTCGATTCCCCCAACCTTAAACTCCAAACCCTAAACCTCTATTCCCTCAACCCTAAACCCTAAACCCTGAACCTCTATCCCCTCAACCCTAAACCTGAACCTCTAAACCCGAAACCCTATTCCCTAACCCCAAAGCCCTAAACCTGAATGCCCTTCCAAGGGGCTTGGTGGACCGGATCCACGGCTCCAGCCTCACAGCGGACGCGGTGACCTATGCCTCGGCGATGTTCGCCTGTGGCCGTGCAGGGCGCTGGGAGGCTTTGGGGTTTAGGGGCCTTTAGGGTTTATTTTGTTTCGAGTTTAGAGTTTAAGGTTTCGAGTTTCGGGTTCAGGGAAGCCCCCCCCCCCCCCCCCCCCCCCCCCCCCCCCCCCAACGCCGAATTTTCAATGACGCCCACAGACTCCAAGCCCTAACGTGAAGAAAGCCGAAAACTGATCAACCACTAAGCCCCAGACCCCGATTCTTCAACAAGCCGCTGTTCCCAAGCCCTGAAGCCCCGAAGCCCTGAAGCCCTGAAGCCCCGAAGCCCTGAAGCCCTCCAACCCTACTATACAGCCCTGACCCTCTACGCTAAACCCGCAACCTTAACCCAAATCTGAGCAAGCCCCCAGACTCCCATATCCCTTAATTCAGGAATATACCTTAAATCATATTAGGGATCCTACCTACCCCATAATTTAAGGGGATCCTACCTACCATAATTTAAGGTCTATCCCTTAGTTAAGGGGTATTGGAGTCTCTGAGCAAGGCGACGCTGCAGCTTCTCTCCGAAGCCGAGCGGGGTTCCAGGGGGGCTCCTGGAGCCGCGTACGGGGCGGCCATGGAGGCCTCCGTCGCCGCAGGGCGCTGGGAGGTGGGGGGCTTAGGGTTTGGGGTTTGGGATTCCTATACATTCCTTTTCGGAGATTTTAGAGGGAGTTTTCTTGGGAGGGCTTGTATAATAGGGGGTGGATTGTTGGTTTAAGCTTTTTGGTGGGAGTGCGATTCTTGCTCTTCTTCTGACTGCTGTTGCTCTTGCTGACAAGCTTCCTAGTATATGGGAGTTTCCGGAAGCAGGGGAACCTAATATGGTATCCTAAATAGTAGGATCCTTATTATAAGGACCTTAAAATAAGGTAACCCCCTAATTTCCGGAAACTCGCATAATATGGTCCGCCTTTGTTGAGCTCCCAGAGGTGGCTTTGGTGCTTTTCGACACCATGGAGCAGCGGCAGCTGCGCAGCAACGACGTGACACGAGCCGTCTTAGTGCGAGCCTGCGCGCTGGGTGGTTTCTGGCAGAAGGGGCTGTCTCTGCTTGCTGATGTCGGGACGGAGGCCAGGCCTCCTAAACACACAAAAGCCCCCATTGCTTCCGTCCTTGTACCGGTCTATGCATAATATAGGGGCCCAAAGAATTACCTATACTATTTTGGGGGTCCTTATTATAATTGTAGTATACCGGGCCCCAAAACCCGATTCTAATTATTAAGGCCTCTGCAGTAGCAGACTTGCATGGGCGAGTTGCGGCCACCAACGCCGCGATTGTCAGTTGTGGCCGGGCGGGGCAGTGGAGCCATTCGCTGGCCCTGCTTTCCGAGCTACAGCAGGCTCCCGAAGCTTCCGTCGAACAAACGCGGAGAGTGCCCAGAGACTCCAATATCACTAAATTAAGGAATATACCTTAAATTATTATAGTAGGATCCCTTATATGATTTAAGGTATAGATATTGGAGTCTGGGGGCGTGTTAGCGGGCTTTCTTGCTTTGGCATAGGGGTGCTGGAGACTGATTAGGTGGCTTCGTCGCATCGGCGTATGCTTCTGACGGTAGGATATGTGGGCACACAGCTACGTAGAACCCATCCGAAACCTTCTGCAGGGTCATCTGCGATTGTGCAGTGAAAGACCGAATCCTTGTCGATCGAACGATTGTAGTAGGGCATCGTTGGCGATGATAAGTTTCCGTCGTCGCCCGTGGTAGCTGGGATCTAGCTTTTTCAAATCCGGAGTACGTAGACAGGCAGGCCTCAAGTATCTGGTCCTCCAGGTAGCAGGGGGGAGCCCGTTTCTGGGGAGGTCCTGCGATGAACGATGTAGGGAACGTTTGGGGTTTAGGCTTTTGGGGTCTGATCCTTTTGGGTAAGTATGGTGGATTGATGAGGCGCGCTTCGTGGGCATTGACACCTACACGGCTGTGCTCAGTGCCTGTGGTACCAGCACCCAGTGGCAGCAGGCTGCGCTGGTCTTCGAGGACCTGGAGCAAACAGGCACGGAGCCAAAAACTCTACACCCCAAGCGCTCCACCCTTGAACCCGTAAAACCCCTAAACCCACAAACCCTAAACCCGGCGAGTCCAAGCAACAGAAGCCGCCTGCCGCTGGACCCGAAACCCCCCTAACCCCCCCCGAAACCCCCTCCAAAACCCCCCGAAACCCAAGCAAGGCCTGCCCCTGGACCTGCCCGCCCGCACGGCTGCCGCCGCGGCGTGCGAGACCTCGGAGTTCTGGGCTCGAGCCATGGGTCTTCTGGAGGAGTTTAGGGGGCGGGAGCAGGCAGCGATAGTTAGTAGTGCTCATGACGATGAGGATGATGGTGATGTTTGCGACCATGGCAATCGTGATGCTGTTGCTGATGCTGGTGGCGGCGATGATGATGATGATGATGATGATGATGATGATGATGTGCATGGGGTGAGTGGTGATAAACATGATGATACTGATTTGGGTGGCGCCGGCGAAGTTGTGGACGATTTGGATCCTAAGTTAATTGGTGTTGGTGTGGTTGTTGTTGTGGTGTGATGATGGTGGTGGTGGAGGTGGTGGTTGTGGTTGTTCTTTGGCTTGCTAATGAAGATGGAAGCCATCATGTCAAAACTCAGGTTGACGGTAGTGCTGCTGTTAACGGTTATGGGTGAAACGCTTGGTGATTTGGTTTTGATGTTTGATTGCCCATGGATGAAGCTGTTCTTGGCCAAGTTTATTTGGCGGCATTCGATGTCGTGTTATGTATCACATGTCAGAAGACGTCCCGTCGTTGCAGTAACTTTGCAGCAGCTTCTGATTGCGCTTGGATGTCGCCTCTTTAGCACTAGGCGTGGCAGCACCCTAGACCTCCATCTCTAAACCCCAACCCCGGCATCCGAAACTCCCAGACCCTACATGGGTGGTTGTCAAAATTAGGGTCCCTTTTTGGGTCCCTATTATAACACGGCACCTAATATTAAGGGTACCCCAAAAAGGGACCCTAATTTTGACAACTACCCACATGCTAAACTCCCGGACCAGGAGCTGCAGGGCGAGAACTTGGAGGCCGACGTGCTCGCGTACAACGTGGCTATCCGCGCAGCAGCGAGCGACTTTGCCGAAGATGCGCAAGGTATGGTTGTTGTTGTTGTTGTGATTACTGCTAGTAAGTTAGTATTGCTGTCAACATGTTTGAGAGACTCCGCATCAACAACAACACCAACAACAACAGCAACTACGCCAGCAACAAGAACAAAAGCGATACTGACAACGAGAACAAGAGCAATAACAAGACCAAGAACAAGAGCAGCAACAGCAACATCAGCAACAGTGACCACAACAACAGCGGCAGCAACACCGGCAGCAAGAACGGCAGCAACAGCAGCAACAACAACAACAACAGCAACGACAGCGACGACTACAGCTGCAACAACAAAGTCACCATGATTACTACGACGACATCAACACCAACAGCACCAACAACAGCAGTGGTGGTGGTTCGGTTGATGATGTTCCTCCTCCTGCTGCTGCTGCTGCAGCAAATGATGATGACGGTGATCGTGATGATCACGGCGGCCATTATGGTTTTGATGGTGATGGCGATGATGGTGGTGGCAATAACGATATCATGGCAAGGATGATGGTGATAGAGAAGATGATGATCTTGGTACTGATGATGACGATGAAGGCGATGATGATGATGATGATGATACTAGTGATGGTGCTTTGGATGTTGATGGCGATGGTGGTGAGGGTGATGCTGGTGGTGGTGGTGGTGGTGATGATGGCGTTGCTGGTGCTGAAGCTGCGGCTGCTGATGATGACGACGATGATGATCATGGTGGTGGTGGTGGTGGTGGTGGTGGTGGTGGTGGTGGTGGTGGTGGTGGTGGTGGTGGTGGTGGTGGTGGTGGTGGTGGTAATGACCATGAACATGGCCTTCAAGGTCATGGTGTTGATAATGATGATGATGCTGATGATGCTAATGACGGTGATGAGGATGTCGATGATGATATTGTTGCGGTTCATGGCGATAGTCAGCTGCGACCTTGAAAGTGGCTGATGCAGTTCGTTTGAAGTTGGTGCCGCTGGTCCTTGTCCGCCTTGGCGCTGTTAGCACTCTAGCAGAGTAACCTGAAGAGTCAGAGGAAGAATCATCCAGGATGCAGCAGAACAGGTGTCTCGTTTGGTCCATCCAATGAACTGGTGCTGCCCTCAGCTGTTGCTACAACACTAACCTCACTGGCAGGTGGCGATCTTTGGCAGGTGGCTGTCTCTTTGCTAGTGTCGGTGGAGGAAGACTTGCGCAGCAGCGTGATCACCTACAATTCGGCCCTGCCCCTGAGCCGGAAAGATGCATGGAAGTACCTGTTGGAGGTTATTTATTTAAAATATCATCAAATAATATTATTAATAATGATAATAATAATAATAAATTAAATTCTGCTTCGAATCGTTGTTCAGTGTTTTGGCGTTTCAAGTCAGTCCAGCGCGAGGTGATTTCAAGGTGCGCCGTGCTGTTTAGTAAACAGCAGGTGTTGAACGGGGTGTGGATTAGGACGTTCTTTGTGGTCTTCCCCATGCGGGTGTGTCCCTGCTTGAGGGAGCCTTTTTTGCCGGAGGGTTCTTGATGAATGTTTGTGTCCGTGTTGCAACCTTGTTAATTCTCTTGTCGGTTTGCTTCCATCTACCTTCACAGCTCGTCTATATAATACGTCGGCTGGTGCCGTGCCTCGGGATCTCGCACGCTGAAGGCAACAACCTGAACCTGTGCCTAAAATCCCAGACCGCATCCCTGAGCCCTAAGCCGAAACTCCAGATATCAAACGCGAGCCCGATCCCTCGAACACCTGAAATGCTGGACGCTGAATCCCCAACTGCAGGCCCCAAACCCTTCAGCCGACCATTCTGTTTGGGTCTCTAAACTGGTAGAAGGATCTAATGCAACTCGAAAGCGACACCAAGTCTGACGCCGCAAACGTCACACCCTCCACCCTTCCAGCAACCCTTTGAATAATCCCAAGCCCCTGACAGAAACCTCAGAAGAGTACTACCAGACCTCAAGGAGATCCTGCGTGTCGAGCGGCCAATGGCAAGTGGCTCTTCTACTCCTTGCCAGGCACGAGGGCTGCAGTAGCACATGCTTGAGGTAGGGAGTTTGCTGGATGAGTGGTTGTCAAAATTGGGGTCCCTCAGATAATACGGCACCTAATATTAAGGGTACCCGAAAGGGACCATCATTTTGACAACTACCCAGATGGAGAAGTGAGCAGATCCGAAGCCCTGAATCCTAGTTCTTAAACCCCGCACCCTGGGCTAGCCGCCATCCGCAACGTCTCAAGGATCCCTTAAGGGCTACTCTTACCCTAAACCCCTAAACCCTAAAACCCTAAACCTCAAAAC